GTTACGATAAAAAAGAAAATAGAATACCGAATAGGAAAGAAAGAGGACATGAAATTCTGACGGAGAACTTTTCAATCGCGATAGATCGCCGTTCGAATTCCATTCCAAATCGGCAATTCCGATCGAGTCGGAGAAAGAAGAGAGAAAAGAAAACGGACATAACGCGGACACGCGCGAGTGTGGCCTCCAAAAATAGCTGGGAGAATCAGAGCAATTCGGTGGATGAACGAGCGAGGGAGGGGAGAGGGGGCGATTGATCCGGGCGACTTGAATAACTCGGCCGGTGTATCCCATCTGCAGGAAATGGCGGCGCGATCCCAATCGGAAAGGGGCTTCTTACGTGGCGCGGATGCCACGTTCTGGCGTAAAACATCGTTCGATTTCCGGCCAGTGGCGTCGCGACTGGGCAAAGTCCACCCCTTTCGCGAATCAAGCAATGCACAGGCACGCACGTGCAGATGCACAGACGCGTGTATATATGCATGATGGCAGTTAGTTTTGTTCGGTTATCTGTCGCAATCAATGTCGATATATATATATATATATATATACGCGCGACGCAACGGACCACCGGCGCGAGTGTGGTCGCGCACATGTGCGTGTATACCGACTGATTGCACCTGTAATTAGAGCTCGGTTAGAGAAAGCTCGGTCACAAATGGAAATTCCCGCGGAATTGCCCGGCGCGCGCGAACGAGGTGTTTCATCCCCGGATAAAATTTATCCGACGCCCGGAAGCGAACGTCGATGCAATATTAATGGCAACGTTAACGCGCATCATGGATAAATCTGCCGCGGCGATTATCAGCATTTTCCAGTCGTACGAAAATCGTAGACACGCAGCAGCGCTCGTTTTACAATCGCGTATTTATTTCCCTTTTTTTTTTTTTTTTTTCTCCGACGACAGTCGTTTGCAATAGAGCAGACGAACTTTGCAAAAGCGGGTTTCACGCACGCTCGAGGGCGGGATTTGCCAAGAGCAAACGGGGCGCGTAGACTTGAAAATTCCGATGGAACTTAAAACTGATATACCCTCTTTCTCTTTCCCTTTGTCGAGGCCTTCTGAATTGTTAACCGCGTGGATAGCGACGTTCCGATCCTCCCTTTCTCTCTCTCTCTCTCTCTCTTTTTTTTTTCAGGGAAAAAGTCATCCTATTATCGAATTACCGGATTCGAATTCGTATAAACTTGATTCGACGATCGAGTGCCGTGCTTTATCTTCCTTCTCTCGATAATGGCCTCAACAGGTCCGTCGATCGTTGAAATCCGTCACCTTCGATCGCGTATAAAATTCAGAACGACACGTTGACTAAACGTGTGGACGAGGGTGAGTTCCCCTCTCTCGGAACTCGTGGGGTGAAATGGCAAAGGAGGCCTCTCGCTCAATTGAAAAGGGACAGGCGAAGGAGATACGTCTACTTTCCCTAACTCGATTCGTTTGTTACTGTTTCTGTCGGCACGTAGTTTGGAATCCCCTAGTAATTCATTCAGGGATGTAATAAACGATCTCGTCAACCGAGACACGGATTTTCCAAAATTTCCACTGGCTATCGTCAGAATTAATTACCCTTCGTCTATGTCGATCTTCGCACGGTGGATGGTCCAGTGACTGACTGCGAATGTTGGGTCATTTTGGAGCCACGAGTTGTTGCTGTTTATATTGTTGAAAGAGCAATATTGTTTGAATGTTTGTTTGAATGAGATTTAATCGAATTTGTTTTATGAAATTGTCACATCCTTTGAAACTATATGATAAACACAAGAGAAAAGGAATAAAATTGCTTCATTAAAGGCTTCGAGTTTTCGAGAAGGTTTGAATTTGAAAATGTACATTTAAATTTAATTAATTAGAAATGAATGAAAACCTTTGTTTATTATATATTTGAAAGTGATACATTTCGAAAGAGAATGTTTTCCAAAAGAGGCGAGAACAATCTTTGATCATAATTAGATATATATTGATGAAACGATGCAATTCAAAATAATACATTTGTTCATGATGATAACCGGGGCGAAACTCGTAGTAAAATGCATTTATCACATAAATCAGAGAGAGCGACGTTATTGTTCTCCACTGGACAAATTACGAAGATAAATGAATCGGATCTTCATAATTAGTCAAGAAATCTTCATAATTGTCTCTGCAACACTCTCAGAGTGATAATTCGAAAATCCCGGGTTTTTCCTTTTTCAATCGTGTCTCTATAAGTTTGCAACTTTTTATTCATTATAATTCATGCGTAAAATAAGAAAATAAAATATACGATTGATATGCACACTCGTCAGATTTCAAATATTTAAAAAATAACAAGAAAGACAAGTAAAAAGCAACTAATTTATTTAGAGTTTGAAGTTATATTGATTCTACAAAAGTAACGATATTTCTGTATAATATAAAATATGTATTCGACATTGCAAACGTGATCAGAACATTTGTTGCATTCATCTTCGTCAGCTTCGGTGAAAGGATAGGAAATGATGTTCGACTGTTTGTACAGACAGATTCGAATGAACTCAGCCATCGATAGGCGAAGATTAATTACTCTTAATTGAAGCGTCTGCAGCTCAAGAAGGAAGCAATTCCACTATTTATACATTTTTTTTACTCTTTTTCGTTAAAAGAAAATGTGATCTTTTCACTTGGTGTAGCTCCAAGCAATAAGTACGATGATGGTCTTGCAGTTGATCTTTTTTTCGACTTGATTTGTTTCTCGTTATCGAGCCAAATGCAACGATGAGACATTAATACCAACGAAAGGACAAATGATTAAACTTGCAAATGAATCCTCCTTTAGGTATTCACATTGCGTCGGCTAAACAAGACAGCGCGTAATTCATTTCATCATTTTTTTGGAAAAACATTAATTTTTAGAGGAAGCAAATCTTGGCATTTGCGATAAAATTATTTACAGAAGGTCCGTGGTAATCAAGATGTTAAGAAACACCGTTTCACGCCGATGTTTGCGTAGCGTAAACGTCGTGCTCGTCGAAATCTCCACGTCGAGACCCGACACCGACCGCCCTTTCTTCCCTATATACGTCTGACGAGGACTGTAATTACGTAGCGCGCAATTTGCAAACTGCTCGATCGCGTTAACAGGCGTCGTGGTTGGCGTTTCGGCGACTTGATCGAAGCCGACCCTCGCCAAGTCTTCGAGCGTTTGTAGAAAATTGGGGACTCGTGTTCATCGAGCCCAGAATTCGCTCGTTTTGCATATCTCCCTTCTCTCCCTCCCCCTCTCTTTCTCTTCGCTTGCACTCTCGTATTTCCAAGTTCGTCGAACATGATTGCTTAGGATAATGTCGATCGTCGTAAATGCGACCTAAACGAGAATCTTATTACGGTAAGCAATAAGAACTCACGAGCATGAGATTCATAAAGTTTCATCACGTTTGTGTACGTTTGCACGCGCGTGTGTTGGAGCCGCGGCAAACTGTGAGTGCAACGTGTATTGTGATATAAATGTTTATATCGAAGCAGAGAGTGAAGTTTCGTAGATGACCAACGAGATAAAATCGTGAAGAATTAAATGTTACCATCTTTTTGTTATTGTCGTTTTCATCGTTATTGTTATTATTATTTTACTGAAATAACAGTTTCTCCAATATATAAAGGTTAATATTTTTTTCTTTATAGGAAACATCGAGCTGCATCGATTAATAAATAAAATATGTGATACTATTCTTATATTTTGTTATTTGAAACTCTTCTTCCGTCCACAAAAAAATTATTAGTGTCGTATTACGGCTTCCTCTGTATCGAATAACTTTCGTTAACAAAGTTTTTTCATACCTTTGAAAATAACGGAGATATTCAGAGATACTTGGAGCTAACTCTTATTCTCCAAATTCATATCGTAATGTATCACGTTGACTAGTTCCAATGTACTATTTCGCGGAAGTTGAAGATAATGATAATTCTTCGTTCATATTTAAATGATTAGACGAGTGAAATTACTTTTATCGCAGCTCTGCTATAAGCACACTAGAGAAAGATATTTTTAAGCACCTTTTATTTTTGCTTTAATCGATGCTCTCTTGTAGCTCCCATCGTAACTCCAATATAAATTTATCCTGTATCTTAATTTCAGAGGGATTACATCTGTGCAACCAAAAGTTGCTACACTATTACACTTTAATAATACTAAATTTCAGAAATTAACATGCGACCGTTTAAAACTGTAGAAATTATTCTTAAATCAATTTATGAAAATGATCGTTAAGTCTAAATTATGACGGCGTCGTTCTCGGAAGATTCATTTGCTATTGAAGTCAAAAATTGAACAGTTGGTAGTTTATTTGGCATTTTATTATTTCGCAGTAATTCCAATGATCAACGATCGTGTGGAGTAAAAATATCCACATAGCCTGTAACGTTGCACTGATTTATTATTAATAATACGAGGAATGGTCGATCGCCTATTGGCAAGATTAACCAAAACGGAAATGTATTGTAAATTTTGAAGGAGAGAGATGGGTGCGGTTCGTATCAACGAATGCGATTAGTCATTTATTCTAGCTGAAAAAAGAAACGATCATGGTTAAACAGTACGCTTCGCCTCCGTTTAATTAATTCTGTTAAGCCAAGAAAACTGGGATCTTCCTATCTAATTATATTTTTTACGTCAAATGTTAATCAAGTTAAATTAGCGAGATGATATGAGATCTTGGATATCTGTCAAATAAATTGCTCTCTGATATTTCAATGATTCCGTTTGATAATTCTCCGAGTGACTTAATCGACCGACAGTTAACGCGAGTTTAACTTAAAACGAGTGTAAAATACTTTAATTTACACAGTGTAATTGCACGATATAATTTCGATCTTATTTCGAGTTATGTCTACGCACAGAGTCCTCTTTTATCGACACCTGTTATCAAATTCTCCGTCGGGATATGGAATCTTTCAGACTTTATCATTGTGTAATTACTGCGTTCTTTGTCATGTGATTGTATCGTTTGTTTTGCATTTTTTATACTTTTTTTTTTTTTTGTTACAGGTAAGGGCCAACTCCATGGATACTTAACGTAGAGCCGGGCAAGGAGGAATTGCGGCGCCCTTCCTCGCGAGAAGGTAACGTAGATGTTGGAGTTATCAGCACCGAGCTATCGATCGATTTTTTTTAAACTAACGCTTAATTAAACATTGCAAAACATAATGCTGATATAACCATTTACAAAGGCAATAGCATTTTCGCTTTAACTAACTAATTAGATTTGCTTCTTCGTATTAATAAGGGATCTTGGAATTTCTATTTCTCTAACAATCGAATTCGTAATTTATTGCTTGCAATTCTCTTTCATTCAGAACGTGATTTTTTTTTTTTTTTTTTTTTTTGGACAACACGTCTGTTCATTGATAAACCTTTAAACTGTAATAGGATAAAATTTCAACTATACTGAAACGTCTTATTTTTAATACGCGCGGGATACCGTATTTGCCATCGATCGTAAAGGGTAAAATTAATTTCGAAAACGACTGCCTTACCGACGGAGCAACAGGAAGTCGGGAACTCTGCGACTTATACGCGGATGGCGCCACCAAATCCTGTTGCGATCATCGCACGTTCGTTATCGACCTCCCCGTATAGTACACGTGATTTCAATTTCGCCGGTCCTCGACCCTACTCGTCATCGTCAATTCACGCACGCACGCGCGCGCACGCCTGACCTTTTCAACTAGTCACCAGGCGGCACGTTAAATTGCATTTCCGTTACGCGGCTCTCGCCCAGTACCGGAATCGGCGGACTCGAATTTCCTGAATCAATCTCGACCAAGTAAATCACTCGCGTGAAATTCATCACGCTAGTCCATTCACGCCGAGTCGCCTCTGAAGATACAGTTTCCTTGCCACGGTGCACGACGATAATTTTTTCAGGCTGTGTCGTTGCGCCAGACGCGCGTACTATACATATTAAACGATCGAGTGGTCGCGCGTGAAGGAGAGAGCAACGTTGCAATTCAGCGACATAAATTTCTAAGTTTGCGGGACGCGTGGTGCGCGCGTGTATCCGGCAAAATTAAACGCATTAAATTATTAATACTCGGTGCGGAGCGGACTAGGAAAAGAGGGCGATAGGGTTGCGCACGAGCCAATCCAGGGGGCAAGTTCGTCCTGGGGGAGCTCGTTCCCTTGCCACCCTCCTCGTCGACGATTCCGTTTCGCTCGCTGCACCACCGCCACCGTCGTTCCTTCCCCTCCCACCCTTATCCGCCGAGAGGGGTTCTCCCGTTTCTTCTCCGCGCGGCGAGGATGCCATGTGACGCTCAGCTGTGTGTTAAATCCCAAAATTATTGCGGAGCCAGTGTACGAGCGCGCGACTCGATTACGAACAGCCGCCCCGCGTTACATAAAGCGCTGCCAGCGAGCCAGGGGGCGCAGATAGTGGAGGGTGGCCCACGTGGTGAGGAAAAAAAAGTTTCCTCGCCACCCAGCTTCAACGACCGATTGTCACTCGCACGAGTTCCCCGTACTCTCCGCGCGCGTGTTACGATCATCGATTCGCAACGCAGAATGGACAGCGAAATTAGTACGTGCCTGGCAAACACGTACGATGGCCGACTACGGCTCGTTATCGATTTCTTTCGGTTGCTGTTTCTTCCGACTTTCGTTTCAGACGCCTGACGTTTCAACCGGAGATGATACGCGCGCGAGATAAGACACGAACCTGTTCGCGATAAATTATCGGGCGGCTTGAAATTTCAACGGCGAGGTAGCCGCGCAGATGCCTCGAAATAGACGCGTTACGGTTATGGTTGTATCCACAATGGTTTTCGGTGGTGCAGCTTCGGTGGTTCGATCGCGAATGTGAACGATAGAAATTTCCTCGCAATGCTTCGTGGCCTCCTTTCGCCTGCTGCTTTTCCTCTACGTTCTGATCCCAATTTTTCCCTCTTTTTCCTTCTCTTTCTATTTTTTTTTTTTTTTTTTTCAAGTGAAGCACCCTCATCACCGCCGTGGAAAATATAAGCTCCACTCGGCTGGCTTCGATCGTCGCTGCCTCGCGGTTAATTGCCGGTGAGAATCAAGAACAGAGGAATTTCTATTTCGTTTGCCGCGCGCTGATTCGCAAGCGAGGAGAAGCTCCCCCCCTATTTTATGAAAATTCCGCGCACCGGTATCCTTGACATTTTTCCCACGCGGAAGTTGACGAAATAATGCCGCGGTATTTTTCATTTCCTGGCACCCGCGGACGGAACTACTTCCGCGATACTCTCTCGCCAACGACGTCACTCGTCGTGACGTTTACAGTCTGGATTATTCCGCGCACGTTATTTACCCGGCCTTGCCTCTTATTTTTCCGTCATATTGCTGCTCGTTTTTTTTTCCTTCCTTTTTTTTATTTATTACGAACGAGGAACACGTTTTCATTTCGCGGCTCTTGGAACAAATTAACGACGAGGAGAATTTCTCGATGACGCGTATAACATCTGAGAGGTAACAGTCAGTTGGAAATTTTCGTATATCTGTAAATTTTAAATGTGTATGTAAGGAAAAACGAGGATTATTAACTCTTTGGTATACTAAAGATTGTCTCTTTGGTCGTTTTCAGTTCCAAGATCTTTTTATAAATATTTTGAAAACACACTAAGTGTTCGGACACTAAGTATATACGAAATTCTCATAATTTTGTAAAAAGAAGTCGTACAACTGAAATAAACTCTAAATTAAGATTCTTTTTTTAGAAAATTATAACTTAAAGTTATAATTTAAAAATTTAATTTTTGTAAAGTTACAGCTTAAATACGTAGTGTCCGAATATTAATAGCAGTTGGTGGTGTACTTCTCAGATCACAACTTCGACAGACTTCTCGAGACAACAACCCCTGTCAGGGTTAATGAAGCGCTTTTGAAGCGCTTTCGAACATGGAAACTCGTTGACCATGACCTTTCGATGACTATTTCATCCGGTATGGGGATCTGCGGACTTTCGCGGTAACGAATGGACATGAATATTCGTACCACGAATCAGTTGAAATTTATGGCGACAGAGTGCCGCGAACTTACCCTGTGCCGCGTCGAATCAATTTAATTTCGATCGTTCCTCTAACAATCTGTCGTCAAGGTCGTTTCTCTAAATCAATTCTATCTAATCCTGTCTCTGTCTGTCCGTCTCTGGTTCCCTTCGAAAATACATATATTTCCTTAGAAGCTAATTGATCTCCAAACTCCATTTTGGTGTTAGTTTCTCAATTTCGTTATCTATCGAGCTTCTCGAAGAAACATATTATTTATTCACATAGTTTATTTAACTTTACCTGATTAATTGATTTAATAACAATAATAATAATTGCGTTCTCTGTTTCATTATCCGAATAGGGGCAGAACATGCAATATTGATTGGTTTAGGTTTTTTTTTTTATATTTTATATTACATTTGCGAAATTTCATAATGAGAATTGATGATTTAAAAAATATCATATACAAAAGGCACGTTGGAGAATTAAAACTTTAACTTTTGATTATATATAGTAGATTAGTAATAGTATATATAATGAGACAAAATCATTTACATGTTTGAGAAATGAAAGATCAGCTTTAAAAAATAACTTTTAATTCGTTGAGTGTCAGCACGCAACGTTTAATGCCTCAGAGCATCAGAAACAATGGGATAAATAATATGACTCCAATGTGCATTGCACTGAATCATGTTATTTATGAAATAAAGTACTAATATTTGGTGAAAATCGTGATTAACATTGAATTACTCGAAAATACACATTATTTAATTTGATAAACTAACGTTTATCACAAGAAGATCTATAAATCCCAAATTTTTTAAAAATTACAGTATTCAACATATTTTCTTTCACTTAATACAGTTAATCAATAAAGATTCTGAGCTGTTCGTTTCGCACTGTCGTTCGTCGCGGCTATTCGAAAATTTTTTTTAGAAGAACTTACATCTCAAGAAACGCTTAACGAGCGCATTGAAAAAGCTTCGAGCGAAGAACGATAATATTCACACGCAGATAAGCGAGGAATCTCAGTTCAACTGCGATAAAACATCCCTTTATCTTCGAGAAGTGGAAAATTAACGAAACTAGATCCAGTGCTGAAGAACGTATTTCGAGAATTCGTTCCAAGCATTTCACTTCCAGAAAGACGGTCGCTATATACGTACGACTACGTGAATTTTTAAAATTACTTACCAAAATTTTTCGACGTTACCTTCTTTTTTTAATTTAAATGTGTCATATAAATGCACCATTATCAGACTGCGCAGATTCGTGTTTTTCTGAATGTAATTTAGAAAATGGAACTGAGATAGAAAAATAGTTTTTTTGATAAATTGCTCGATCCCAGTTCTGATGTGTTGTAAAGGAGTAGAGCCCCGAGGAAAATGCAACAAGTGCAATTACGGTTATAATATAACAAGCACAATTGCCCTTTTCTCCTAACTTTTGAATCACGATCCTTGCTCGAGATATGTTACAACATATCAAAATCAAAAAATTAAAATATAAAAAGCTTGTACAAATTCTGATTAAAGTCAGTATAAATCGTCATTTAAAAAGAGAAAACAATGTAAATATATTTTAAAGTATATTATCAACATTCGTCTCCGAAATCTAACATCTTTCATTGTATCTCAGACTTAAATATTACAAGTAGAAATTATCCTTGCCTCTAAAAGTCGGCGCAACAGTTGCTAAACCAAATATCCCGCCCTGTTATTGCAGACTGTGACCTTAATGTACAAACTTTATATTCTCATTCTATCATTTTAGTTCTACAGCTATGGCTGTAGTAAATCAGATTTCCAAAGCTTAAATAAATAAATAAAAAAAAAAAAAAAAATTCTAGCTCACGCTCCTTTAGTTTACACTCTAATTGGAGATTTATCCCACAGAATTTCTCTTTCATACCTTGCACCAATGAAACAATAGCCGTTGGTAATTTCAGATAAACCGGCAGCTGTACGTACGGCCGAACGAATTAATTCGCCGGTCGAGCGCGAGTTACAAATTATTTCTAGCTTCGGACAGGACAAGTCGCATTGTTAGATCGATGGTATTTGCGTGGAATGTCGTTCGACCGGCGCACGTGCCGGCTGATAAGTGATCGGTGG